TGGATAGGAAAAGCATGAAGAGAATGGAGATGCCATGCATCAAAGCACCACAGCTGCAGCAAGGACTCTTGGTACATTGTGGCACCTGCTACCAGGGTTCTCCCAATTAATCAATTCCTCTTCAAACCCACTTTTGTCCTCGTGTTTCCATTGAACGAAACCTTCAAGGCTGGACTGCTCCAGCTGAATTAGACTTAATTGTGAGGCAGGGAAGTCTACTGCTTTCTTACTTCATTCTAACTCAGTTACGCTTTTTCGACACAAGATGGCTCTGTTGACCACAGAGCAGTTAATGCTGGCCGGGAATTAAGCTGCAGTGTATTACCATTGAGTCTAACATACCACTGATTTCTTTCATTTAGTACATAATCCAGAATGGTTTGGATTAATCAATCTATTTAATTGTATCATTTAATACCAATATTAATATTTTATTGTTATTATTTTTTTCTTTCTGAGCACTTTGTTTTGAGAAAAGCTTATCATACTTTTGTCTATAAGAGCTAAACTAAGGAAGAAACTCAAACCAAACCACTTGAATTTTCAGCTAAATCAGGCTGTACTGTCACGAAAAGAGCTTCATTTGATCAAAAACACAGTTTTTATTGGTTTTTCCTTTAGGTTTCCAGCCTAGTCACACAATAATGTCACAAAACAGCTTCTCTTGCTAAAAAGACAAAGTTTCAGTGGTTTTACATCTGCGTTTGTCAGACTTTAAAATAACAAAACAGCTTCTTTTGGTAAAAAAAAACACAGTTTTAGTGGTTTTACCTCTCGTGCTTAAAAAGGACTGAATTTCCAGGTCAGTCGCACTGTAATGTCATTAAAAACCTTCTTTTGCTCAAGAAACAAAGTTTTAGTGGTTTTAGCTCTAGTTTTTCAGACTTACTTTTAAGAGGCAAAAACCTCGGACAGACCCCAGCTCTAGGTGGGTGGTCGTCTGCCTCGACCAGTTGGGGTGAGGAGAGAGAGAGAGAGAGAGAGAGACAGAGAAAGAGCAGAGGTAACGACAGAAGGACAGACACAGAGACAAAGGTGCACAGCAACAACAGTAGCAACAACTACACTAATAGTAGTGACTAATGATGATGAACATGAAGAAGATGATTACGACGACGACAACGATTGGGGACAATGAGCAGTGATTATAGTAATAATAGTATCTGTAGTAATAATAATAATAACAATAATATCAGTGATATTAGCAGTGGCAGTCAAGCAGGACCATGGCAGGAGGCTCCACCAGGATCCATGAGAACCTGCGAGACGAGAAAGCACAAGAACTCCGGGGAAGAAGTGAAGTTAGTAACAATGGATTAATGGGACTTATGGATGTGTGCAGAAAGACGAGAGAGACGGAAGAGATGGAAAGATGAGGAGCTCAGTGCATCATGGGAAATCCCCCCGATAGTCTAGGCCTATAGCAGCATAACTAAGCGATGGTTCAGGACTCACCTGAGCCAGCCCTAACTATAAGCTTTATCAAAGAGGAACGTCTTAAGCCTACTCTTAAATGTGGAGAGAGTTTCTGACTCCAGAAACCAAAACTGGAAGCTGGTTCTACAGGAGAGGAGCTTGGTAGCTGAAGGCTCTGGTACCGTTCTACTTTTAGAGACTATAGGAACCACAAGTAGCCCTGCATTAAGAGAACGCAGTGTTCTAGTGGGGAACTATGAACTCTATGCATATGAAGGTGCCTGTTGTTGCAACTATCACATTGCTAGGATCAAACATTTGTTCTGGTCTGTCACTTATTGATCGGTTGACTTTATATTGGTATTGAACACCAGTGAAGAATGATCAGTGTGTAAAAGGGAAATGTAGTAGGTGTGAGCAAAATGATCTTGGAAGAAGAGTAGCGTTTTTTTCTTTTGACAATTTTTCACAATATTAACACAAAAATGACCAATAATTACATAAACAAACAAAACAAAAAACAAAAAATGACAAAAAGAGGTTATAGGAAATAGTATGTTCAGTAGACTCAAAATCAGCAAAATATTTAGAATGTTTACATACATACAAAAATTGAATTGAAAAACAAAACAAATAAAAACATAAGAGTTACAGATGCAGCATGCAGGTACATTTGTCTTGTTTATTTGTACAGATTTTCTCAATTGCTATGACTTACTATGCTTAAATAAACTGGGATGCACTTGATCTTCATCGTTATATTTATAGCACAGCAGACGCCTTCTCTTGCAAATGCATGAACACTTTTTCATTAATTAATTCATTAACTGTGATAAACACAAGGAAAACATCTATACATCAGAATCTCTAATGCACCTGTGTGAACCTCCATTGGCACAACTCTTCCATCAGTCCTCATCCATCTATAAAACATGTCCGCTTTGTGTTGCTATTTGCAAGCATGGATCAAAGAGGCCAAAGGCATGTAAGGAGAGTAAGAGGTCATGGCAGATGGGCCCGAGGAAGAGGAGTTTGCATGCAGGAGCCGCAGCAAGAGGAGAAAATAGAACCCAAGTTTCAAATAAAAAAATATTTTTTGGCTGTTTAGTGAAGAAAGACTGCAGTACAAAAGCTGTACCACAATGAATGTATCAATTTGTCTAATCGACTTAAATGTCAATGACAGTTCACGGGCATAAAATGAATGAATAAATGTTTCTTTGAAAATGTTTCTTTATTTTACTGTATTTCGACAGGGCATGTCTAAAAAGTGAAGAAAGAAAAAAAAAGTGAAGCGTGGAGAATACTGCAGGGTTTATATAGCTATATGGATAGCTGTATTTTGTATTTTTTTTATGTTTTGTGAGTGTTGTTGTACCTCCAAGCTTGGGCCTATAGCTTTTGAAACTTCTGAATGAATAGTATTGTTAAACTTCTTTAAAGAATCTTAACAAGTGTACCTTAATTTTTTGAAGCGTTCTCTGTAGCAACAAAATGACAATGTAATTCGGGATCCTAGTTGTCAGTGCTTTCTCTGAAATCACCTGTGTTTTATGGTGCATTAAGAGGTTGCCAACCAAAAATAAACACCGTGCTGACTGTTCTCTGATTGTTGATTGTTATTTTGAAGTGTTTAGAAATTGCTAACACTATTAAATTCCCAGTATTCTCCAAGCCACATATGATTTCATGTGATTATTCAGGCAAAATGGAAGGATTGCTGCTTTTGCTATTTTTGACCAAGTGTCAAAAGCTGTCCAGTTGAGACCAAATCTCTGCCCATTATGTGCTTGAGAAAATGATGTGATGTAACATCCCAGTTCTCTGGTTGTTGGGCTGTTGTCACACAGTTAGTTATCTGGACTGAATTGTGTCTGTTGTTGGAGACATTGGTATGCATGGCCTTAGCCTGAAGCAGAGGTTGTTTTGACTGACTAATCTAGATTCTGGGTGATGTGCCAAGACAAGTTATAGTTCATTTTTCATGCAATGTTGGTCTTTCTAAAACAACAGATTTTTGTCAGAACATTAACATTCAACGATAAAAACTTTTCAGATTCTTTTACTTCTTCTATATTTTTGTTTGAAAAATAATCAATGACATCTTCAAACACCTTACCTGACACAGTGGTTACATCTCTCTTTTCTGTGTGATTCATTCTCAGTCTAAAGACGTGCAATAGACAGCAATCCTTCTCAGACCCTGAATAGCTGGAAGAACTTATGGAAGCTGAATGCATCTGTTATCTCTAAATAAAACTGGTATTGCCACCCTAGTCTTGAATTTGGGATTTAGCATGCATCTTAAAACCCAGATGCACAAGAAAATGTCAGTAATATGATATATACCTCTATTCCTTGCATCTCATTCTCTCAGTCTAAGAAATTTAGTTGGTTCAAACAGATGGACTGAAATAGATGTAAAGACAATTTGCACATCCAGCATATCCAGCAGACCAGGGACAGTCAGCGCATTGCTGCCATTCTGTGGGAGGACTCCTTGTGAAAGTCAGTAAGAACTGCTTGGGAGTGCCAGGAGTTACAGCTGCCGGAAGTCCCAAAAGACTTATGGAGGTATTTGTATTTGTTCTAGTGTTTGAGGGCAAAATGAGTCTTCTGTTTTTTTACCTGTTGCTATTATTTAGTGTTTAGGTGTTAATCTTTCCCATTGTGAACTGTTGGATAGTTTACTTTGAAAAAGTAATTGTTAGGCTACTAATTACTTATTGGTTTCCTATAATTGTAATGAGATTATTTTAGTTGTTACTAACTAAAACAACTATATATGTATATAATCCAAATACTCTTTATTTTATTTCTGCATTGTTCTATCATATCATACGTAAATCTGAATATCTTACCTCTAAAAGTCATCAATCACATGTCATTGGTATCTTGTTCAGAATCTGACAGCAGATGTAGACATGGGCAACATATCCTGCACTATGCAACCTGACACAAGGTATCATTTCTCTCTGTGTTAGTGCTCTACCTGTCAAAAACTGATATTAGCCTGTTTGGTAGTAGAGGAATTCTCAGTTATCCGTAACAGGAGCAGGCTCTTTGACATGGACCTGTTTTCTGATGAGGTACTTCAACAGATTGCTTGCTTCCGTGGATAGAAGGCTCTCAACGTGGACTGGCATTTTTGCATTTATTTTGATACTGACAGTAGAGAGATGGCTGGAAATGAAGGGAGAGAGAGGAGTGAATTGATGTTATGCTTTAATGATGAGCATCTTAAACACCAAAGCCACCAGAATACCCCAAGGCTGGATTCAGCTTATGTTCAATGGTGATATTCTTTTCTTTACGTGGCATGAATTCAAATAATGACAAGACCTTCACTTTTCTCGTGGCAGAAAGGACAATGAGCCAAGCCAAATTGATTTTCCTTGATAGATAATAAAACAGGTTTTAATTAAATGGAAATAACTT